TTATATAAAAAGTTATATAATATTTTATATTTATTTTATTTTTAAAGTGAAATATTTTATTAATACGTAAACCTTTAGGTATAATTTTTATATTATTATACCGAGAAAAAAATCTATTATTATTATATATTTTTTAAAATTTATTATTAAATATCCTAATAATACATTTATAGGTATTTCATTTATGTATTATATTGTATTATATTATAATACAATACAATACAATATAGTATAGTAAAAAATACAAAAAATACAATACATTTAGAGGTCTGCCCCTAATAGAGTGTAAACTTGCTTATATTACTCTATATAAAAGAGATTCTCCTAATTAAATAGCTATAATAATACTCCCTAATTAATTCTAAGGTAAAGTTAACTATAAAAGCCCTTACTAATCGGTTTAAAAAGGGGACTTAAAAGGGGAATTAGCTCGATTACTAAGCGTAAGAAGTTTAAGAGAGAATTTAGCTAGCTATTTACGCTAATAAACCGACTAATAAGCCCCTAAAAAACCTAATAATATATTATACGATTAACCTATTAATATAAAAATAAAAAGCATTAAGTTAAACGCTTTACTAGAAAACTCTATTATAAGAGCTCGCCTTTATAAATAAACTTTAAGAACTTCTCTTAATATTAAAGAATATTATATCTCTTTTAATAGTATACCTTATAACGCTAAATAAAGTAATAAAGAATAAGAAGCCTAAGACTTACGTAAAAGCCTTATAGTTAATTAACTAGCTAAAATAAAAGATAACTATTATAAATAAAGTTAATACCTTAAAAGAAAACGAAACCTATAATAAGGTAAATAAGGTAAATAATATACACGTATTAACTAATAAGTAAGTGTTTAAAGCTAAGCTAAGTTTAATTAATAAAATTAAACGCTATAAGGCCTAATATATAGTTTAAGGCTTTAAATAAAAGTATAATATTAATTATAATAAAACCTTTACCTTAATAGTTTAATAAAAGACCTACCGCCTATTATTCGCTTTAATTATACTCTTAAACTAAGAGATTAAATAAATAAACGTAAAGATAACTTTTTTATACGATTACGTAAATAAAATAATTTACGTTATACTTTTAAATAGTTTTAAGAAATCTAATAAGATTTAGCGGTTAAAGAAGGCGTTATATAGCTTAAAATAAGCCCTTAAAGTATAATTTAAGATACTCTTTACTAAACTAATCTTTTATATAGATTATTCTTTAACTTAAATAAAAAAGCTATTATAAAAGTAAAGGGTAAGTTATTAAATAGGTTTAAAATAATTAACTTAAGTATAATAATATTCTTTTTAGGTATAATTATAATAAGGGATTATAAGAAGAGAACTCTCTTATTATTATAATAATTATACCTAAAAAGGTTACTTAAGCGATTAAAGATAAATAACGTAAAGCCTTAATATACGCTTATAAACGTCTTTAAAGTACTAGAACTTTATAAAGAGAGTAAGAAATATAATAAGAATAATAAGTAGCTATTTTAATATATTTTTAAGACGCTAATATTTATAATAATTAATACTTACGTTAATTTTATTTACCTAATAGTAAAGCTTAATAGGTTTATAATAAACCTATTAATAAAACACTTATTTATAATAAAGTAAGTGTTATATTACATTAAATATATACTTAATCTATTATTATAATTTAATAATAATAATAATTAATAGATTATAGGTTACTTTAATATTAAGTAAGTATAAGATAAAAGTAACTTAAGATTTATAAACTATTATATCTTTCTATTAATTAATACTATTATTAGTTAAAAGAGTAAGAAATAAAGTATAATAGCTACGTTAAGCATTAAATTTAAGTATATTAAGCTCTTTAATATAAGACTAAAAGCTATATATTTAAGAGGTCTAATAAGAGAGATATATAAAGAGTAAATACTATTATAACTATTTACTAATAATAATAGTATTATAATAATCTTTAATAACGTTAAATTCTATAAATAAATTAAGTGTATTTAAATCTAATACTATAAGATATAAAAGCTTATATAAGAAGATATAATAAAGGTTAATTAGACTTTTAAGGAGAAAAACCTAGTGAATTTAAGGAATTATAAAAATAAAAGTATTATTATAATTAAAGTTAAAGAAGTAAGTTAAGTTTATTAACTTAAGGTAAAAGAAAGAGAAGAAGAAGACTATTACTTAAAAGAATAATATTAATAAAGAATACTACGTTAATACTTATTAATTATTACTCTTTTTTTAAAAAGGTTTTAATAAGAGTAATAAGATATATATACTAGATTTTAGCGAATAAGCCTTTATAATTATATTAAGAAGAGGTGTTTAATTTCCATAATTAATTACAATTACTTTAGCTAGATTAATAGGTGGGGTGTATATTAGGGCTCGTACCGCCCATAATGTGTACCAGTGTAACTTGTACTTTACATCCCACATAACGGGACAATACATACAGTTACAACATCATGTGCCACTGTGTTGGCCATGCGGGTCCGTCCTGGGCCCTGGTCATCTATTGCTGCTAGTATCACGGCCCATCCTTGTGCGTTTGGCGGCGGCCATGCAGGCGTTTGACTGGATGAAAGGTCGATTGATTTACCTTTTGGACTAAAATAACAAGGCATGCCAAGGAAGGGAAGCTCACACCACCCCGACGCCTGCATCACGATTGGAGCGAGCAAAGGTGCAAAAAGATGCACAGGAGAGGAGAGCGGGGGCAAAGACGGAGATTGGCACCCTCCAAGGCCGATTTGGTCCAAGGCCGCAATTGTGCCCTCCTATTCAGCTTCCTCTCGTCATTGACTTTCGACACTCTGCTTTGTGCCTCGCAGCTTTTGCCCTTCGACTATTCAGACCAGGACTGCATATTCTCTCATTCTGCATTCTGTACCCAGTGTCCTGATCTTGCATTTGCTCATCATCGACACCGGCTCTTCCCTCGGTAGCAGCCGCCGCCCATTCGTTCAGTCCTCACCACTTCTCTTGTTTGAACTCCCCCTTGACTTCTTTTTTTCGTTGTTCTTTTTTTTTTTTTTTTTTTCGTAATTCTATAATTTTTCGCTATACCGTCAGGGGGCCTTTCAATCATTCACAGCCATCTTCTGACACGCCGTTGCCGCCCCCGTGACCCATCGTTCGTATCCGTCGTCTCAGATTCCAACTTCCCCTTTCCCCGCGTCCCTCGATAAGAGACGCACAATCTTAGAATCCACGACTGTCACGATTGCTTATAACGACCGGTCCATTGTTTGGTCCTCGTGAGTCCTTGAGGCCATTGGCCACGGCGAAATTATTCGCAGACAATTCTTTCACGCCAAATCTGCAGAGGGAGCGGAACGAAACAATAATAATAGTTGCAATTTTTTGGGTTTCTTAATAGTCTTGGGTTTCCTGCAATCACTTAATTTCAACCGTGCAGAATCCTCTGAAATGCAGCCATGATTCACGAACAAGTCGTTAGCAACATTCTACCGAGCCCTGGATCTCCTCCCGGAATGACCACGTCTAAGAGCTCAAAATCTTCCTCCTTTCAGTCGCTCAACAGTGATGACGGCAGTGTGTTGGCAGATATTAGCCACTTCGAAGACATCGGCTTGGATGACGACAATGTCACCCTCAAAGTCGACGTCCGCCCTGGGCCAACTCCATTGGTGACGCCAGTTGCTCGTAACCTGGCCGGTGGGAAGCGACCTCCAGGTCCAAAGCCGCGACGGTCGTTTCCTAATATCCATACCAGCATCTACGCGTCCAATCCTCGAAGCACAAGCCTTGCAGGGCTGACGGATCCACGACCTCTCTCTTTGAACAGAGGACATTCTACGGCTTCTTTGCCCGTCGCACGACGAAACCGCAGCACCAGTCCCAACCTGTCCCTAAACCCTAGAGATATCAGCCTCCCGTCCAAGCCTCAGCCGCGGCCTCGACGCGGAAGCTGGCAGGCGACTCGTCGCAAGAGCTTGCAAGAGCTAGAACACGAATGCGACGAAGATGACGGCGATGATATTCCCGATGGCATTGTGCTTGACAATGTGCCCATCTCCCCTCGACCTGCCCATGAGCGTCCACCAAGTCGAGCTCCCTCAGTTTCACCGTCACCAGAGCGCGCGCCCAAGGAAAGGGTGCGAAGCATTGGCAATGGCACACCAGCAGTAGCCCAGGCACAGGGATCCCTTCGATCTCCTTCGTGGAAGTCAGACGCATCGGACAAGCCGCCGTCAAGCCCACTCAAATCACGGACCAATAGTTGGAACTTGGCCCTGGCCGACTTGAACGCCGAATCCAAGGCGCTGACCGAAAAGCTGGAGGAACACGCCGACGAGCTACATGAGCGTTTTAGCCGCCGACCATCAGGATCTGCGCGCCCAAATACCTGGAATTCTAGTCACATGCCCTATGACCATGTGTATGACAAAAAGGCACGAGTCAAGTCGTCAACCCCTGAATTGCCACCGCTGCGGCGAACCGACATTATGATTGATCCGCTACCCATATCAAAGGAGAAGGAAGCTGTTCTCAGCCGTACCCGACCGTCTTGGTTACCGCCCAAGGATCCAGCGGAAGAACGTCGTCACCTGAAAGAGTATCAGAAGATGATGGCTGCCAGTGCCAAAGCCGACGAGAGGCGGGAGGCCGCTCGGCGATCAAGGACCGAGTCCAGAGACAACACTGCGGACAATCTTATGCACATTTGGGAAGGTGACATCATCCCGAGATGGAACGATGCCATACGTGAAAGACGCACAAGGGACATGTGGTGGCGAGGAGTGGCCCCGAGAAGTCGCGGCGTCGTCTGGGCTCGTGCCATTGGCAATGAGCTTGGTTTGACAGAGGCTACTTTCCGAACTGCTCTGGCTCGCGCTCGTGATTTGGAAGAGAGGGTTCGCACCGACAGAGCAGACGCTGAAGACACTAGGCGAGCCAAGTGGTTTGAGCAGATTCGCAAAGATGCAAGTGACAAGACTTGGAAGAATCTTAGGATCTTTGAAATCACCGGACCTCTGCATTCGTCATTAGTTGATGTGCTTAGTGCATATGCCATGTACAGGAGCGATATTGGTTACGTGTCTGGGTGCAATGTATGGCCTCCCCAACTTTTGCATATTCTAAGGGCTTAGTGTTTACTAACTCTCCTGTCACAGACGATTGCGGCTTTGCTTCTATTGAACCTTCCCAATGCCGAAACAGCGTTTATCGCACTCGCCAACGTCCTGAACCGACCATTGCCTTTATCATTCTACACCGCCGATGAAACAGCGCAGGTCTCTGCTTACAATCTCGTTCTGCAGACACTTGGCCACAAGTCACAGCCACTTCATGAGCACCTGACCAAGACTGTGCGGGATGTTGCGCCAGAACTTTACCTGGGTGGCATGTTTCTCAGCTTGTTCACAGGTCACTTGGCCATTGATGAAGCTGCGCGTCTATGGGATGTGTATGTGTTCGAGGGTGATGCCTTGCTAGTTCGAGCAGCCGTGGCCCTTTTGCTTTCGCGTGAAATGGCACTTCTCGGAAGTAAGACTCCTGATGAAGTCCTTGCTGTGATAAGTAGAGCGAGTTCGAGCAACGGAGCTGCAAGAGCAGTGGGTGAGGTTGGGGCTGAAGACCGGTTCATGGCAGCCGTTCGTGAAGCTGGGAAAGCTTAATTTCAATATCCTGGCTTGGTCGTTCAACGACAAGCAAAAAGAATACCTCGCGACCATTTATACACGATATCTGGATCACCTCATACTGGAACTTGATCTGTTTCGATTTGATTTCAAGCGTTTAATGAATATCAAGATGTATAGACGGAGGGGACGCATGCAATGGGAGCCGCGTCAAGGCGTTGTGACTTACTGAGCACTTGTGAGCGAAGCGGAGGAAGTGGGGGAGAAGCGGGGGGCATAATCAGTCAGTCTGGAGCTGGCGTTTAATCAACTGGACATATTCTTTGCGCTAGCGGGAGAAAGCAATGAATCGGAGAAGGAAAAGGAACCGATGAGTTGGCAAAATGCCGACATCAGGGTGCGTTTTTGGATTCAGGCGTATACCACGCACGCGGCAAGTCTGGGTACATAATTTTCACCCTTTGTGAACATGGGCTGTCAATATTTGGCCCCGCGGCCTTGGACACCCGTTGTATTACACGATGGCTTAATTTTTATTACTTATTACTTATTTCAATAAGCACGTGGGAAATTCGCGGCATTCTGTGAGATGACTGAACGACCCGAGTATCGTGCAGGCGCAGGCTGGCTGTCTTTTCAACCGCACCGTGCCACGTTATGGGCGACTTGATCTCATTTGGATTGCGTATATTGTCTACACCGAATACTGCTTACCCTATTGTTCAAAATACCGAACAAAGGCGTTGTTTTCGTGGTATCCATCACGTGACAGTCAAGGACATCCGGCCGACACAGCCGACAAAAAACAACACACACGGTTTTTGTCACGACCTCCCATCTCCACTCAACTCAACATACATGGACGCAACTTACACCACCAACCAGCATCAAAACATAACATAACAGAGAAAGGAAGGGGACAAGAGTCGGGCGCACGGGACGCACTCATCACCAGGTTGGAGAAATGCCCTCGGGCTACCAACATGGAGACACGCCCAAAAAGGCCATGGTTCGCGGGACCATAAGCTACCTCGAATCCCAAGGCCTGCCCGTCAACAAATCCGCCATATTCAGACACTTTGAGCTATCACGGTCCCAGGGCTACGCGGCGCTCAGGGAATCGGCATCCAAGCGGAGTGACCCCGAGTGGGAAGAGACGCGAGGGCGACCCAGCAAACTGTCCGACGAGGACCAGCAAAAGCTGGAAAGAATCCTCTGGGACGAGGCGTACGAGGACGTGTACCTCAACTGGGCGGGGCTGGCGAAGCACGCGGGCGTAGAGATGGGCTGCAACTCGAGGACGATGCACAGGGCCATGGGCACGCTGGGGTACAGACGGTGCCTGGGGTGCGGAAGGGGTTGGGTGAACAAGAAGCTGCGCGAGAGGCGGGTGGAGTGGGCGCGCCGGATGCTGGACGCGTTTGCGACCACGGAGACGGGCTGGCGGGCAGTCCGGTTCGGGTGCGAGCTGCACTTTGGCTTCGGGCTCGACGGCGCAATGAGGGTGATGCCGCGGCCGGGGGAGAAATACTGCCCCGGCTGCAACGAGACGCGGCCGTCTGTCGATGACGAAGCAGGCGGCCCCGGGAGATGGACGAGGGACGTCAAGAGAGTCCACGCGTGGGCGTGCGTGGGGTACAACTTCAAGAGCGACCTCGTCTTTTACGACGCCGCGACGAGCCCCAACTCGTCGGGCGTCATGAGCATGGCCGACTACCGCGACAAGGTTCTCGAGAAGCACGTCAAGCCGTGGCTGCGGCCGTCCGCGGGCGGGCCCCAGTCCTTCGTCTTGGAGGAGGATACCGAGTCGTTTGCCCACGGGGCGCTGAGCAAGGCGAATCCCGTGCAGCAGTGGAAGGAGCTCAACGAGCTCCGGAGTCACTTCAACTGCGGTGATAGCCCGGACCTGAGTCCCCTTGATTCGGTCTGGCCGGCCGGCAAGCAGTGGAGGATGAAGCCGCTGAAGGACTGGGACGAGGCGTCGTTGAGGGAGGCGGCCCGGAAGGCGTGGAGGGACGTGGTTCTCGACCAGGAGAGGGTCAATGTCTGGGTGGAGTTTATGCCGGAGAGGTTGAGGGCCGTGGTGGACAGCGGCGGCAAGCTGGTGTCGTGGTAGAGCTGTACCAAACGCCAAGACGTAATGTGTAAGTTTGGCGTTGGGGGTTGGTGAAATGGTGCATGTGCATTGTAAAACAGTATATTATTTTCAATCTCAAATACGCTCCAATAAATACCCCGTGGCTATAAGCCAGAAACTCTTGCAATTTTTCTTTTTCTTTTACTTCTCCTTCTTCTAGCTCCGGCTCAATGATACTCTTTACGCATCAAAAGATCCCCTCGCACGAGATGCGTAACATAATACAAAAGTCGGTGAAACCCCGACAAAGTGTGTATCAGACGGACCGTCATGACATAGTCCCGGACGGCCTTCTACCTCGTGGTTGCTATCGTTCCGCGCGCCGTCTTATAGTGCGTCGTCCAAGGGGGTATAACAACCGTTTATTATCTTGTCCTGCTGGCGGTCATGCTGTCTCGTTCTGCATCCCCAACAGCGTCTCCGTCCCAGGTCTGGAGCCACCCGATGTACACATAGCTCCAATTTTTGTTGTTTGATTCCCTCCTAGGCCCAGCGTAGGCTTCTAGGATTATGTTAACCATGGTCCAATTCACGCTGCAGAGTGAAGCACGGACAATACCAATACACCCCGTCTCCTGAGCTGGCCTTTAGTATAGGGTAGGGCCCGACGGATCGCCTTTGGACGGCACTTGACTGCTGTTACAGGTGGCGAAAACTAGACATGAGATTTTGCGAATTACTATAAACTGCTCATGGTCTTCTTGATGTCAATTGTTTTGTTGCCCCCTCATTATGTGTTGCGGCGCGATGTAACAGCTCCCTCACACAGAGCGGGGAGACGCGGACCAAGCTTGGCCTGTGACTGAGATGGTGACATACTGAACCACGTCTCTATTGGAGCCTCCCAAAACAGCAATTGATGATGACATGGTTCATGTCTAAGACACCCTCCTGAATCGACGTTGCCCACGGCCTGCGCATCGAGGCGTAACAGGACATGGCGATAAGTGTATGGATCTGGTACGGAGTAGATCCAAGCAGTATTGCATAATGGAGAATAGCACAGGGTAAGACTCAATGCCTCTTTCAATTCATATCATGTTCCTAATCTTCACAGTGGAAGGGCGGAAAACCATGGTGACACAACCACCGCCATGATTGACGACTGTTACTCCGTAACCTAAGACCTTGTCAAGTGGGCGGGATTGTGTTCCAACTCAAGATGCCCGAGTCTCGGACTAGACAGCTGGACCTGCGAAAATTTCTTCTCGCCGATGCCCTCGCCCACAGCGTAGCATCGAGGCATGCACAGGGGACTATCCGGTCCTTCGCTGGGCTGCTGAGATGTAATACAGCATAAGCTCGTCTCATTTGCATATGTATGACCATGATGATCAGTTGTGTGACTTTGGGCGTCTCAATGTCTCTGAAGGTCGGTGGTGACTTGGCCGTGGTCTGGCATCGGCTTCACATGCTTGAGGGTGGCTCCACGCCGTGCGGATGCAAGGAAAGCTACACACAGCTAGTTTTCTAGCTGCACCGTCAGTCAAACTACCAATGGCACTTGACACTGTGAGGTACGGCGACGACTAAAGTTCATGACCTTGGCGATTCAGTTTCTGGAGGGTGGCAATGGCGTGGCTGGATGACAGAATGTTGCAGCATGTCATGACTTGACTTGGGCAGAGGGGCACAAAGAAAACAGAGAGGCTAAAAAAGAAGGGAAAAAAAGGGACCAAAAAAAGGGTTTTACCGAGAGCGGAGCAAGATTGCAACAAAAAGGATCTGGCGAACTAGCGATGTGAGTGGCTGTTGGGTGCCGTCAGAGGCTAACAGGGCAAGAGCTGCACATGTGCCCCTCGCTCCCCAATTTTCATGTGCACATGTGCAGATTTTTAGCTGAGTAACTAGCTACTGCGCACACCCCCCTCTTACTCGAGTGTTTGGGCGTGAGCGTGAAGAGATGGACGGATATATCAAGGGCAGTGTATTACGTTGAAGACGCAATGCTACAATGATGAACTGCAACGGAGACAATATGCGCTAGCGACCTCTCTATCGCGGCATTGAATGCACTGGGCGACGCTGTGGGTGGATGGTCGTCTTTAAGAATTCTCCTTGGCGTCGCCGATGCTGATTCTCTGTGCTCCATATCCACACTCCCCAGTCACCGACTCATGCATGCATGCCACTGCACATCACACCGCCGCGGCTACTACTTTACTCCCGCCCGGCCACAAAGCTCGTGAGTGAAGTAAATGGCGCTTTTGAGTTGCTATTGTGCCATGTCAAGTGATTGGGATTGATAGGAACATCAATGCCACGGAACGCACTCATAAGCACCTCTAGGTACCTAGGTATGTACTAAGTACTAGGCATTTAATCAAGTCCACAGTACAATTGTGCAATGCTTCCGCTTGCCTTGGGAGGTGCCTCGAAGCACTTCGGAAACTAGGAGGCACTCCATACAGAGTACTCCGTAGGCACCTGAGTTATCCCCTCTAGGTACTCCGTGCGTACTACTAGGTATGTACATGCATGCGAGTGCAAGCACAAGCACAAGCACAAGCACAAGCTTAAGCACAGGCCTGGCCCGAGCCCTCCTTGCCCTCTCTGTAGGACTCCATATTATTACCCCGTGGTACTCCGTAAAGGCACTCACGATCCCGACTTGCCCCATGTTCTCTCGTTTTTGCAAGACCCAAATCTATCCAGTCCAGTTTGTGTTATTTCACAACAATGTGCAAAGTGGCCTGACCCCTCTTGCCTCTTGCCTCCTGCCTCGCCTTCTTAAGCTCTGTCTGCACCTGCCGGCTGGCGTCTCAAGTCTTCAACCTAAATCTCAAATCACCTATAGCAAGAGTCAGAAATCCATAGCTTCGGAAAGGGCCGTGCAGGTTTCATTGCACATGTGGCCGCCGGGTACCTGCTATTCGCACATAATCTGGATCTGGTAGTACTCGGTACTCCCGTGGTTGCTCCCCTTCCGTCCTGCTGAAATCTGAACCCCTTTTGTGGCTTAACACCCCAACGCGCCCTGGCCCCACGACCCTGCATCCCAACAAAACCAACCGTGAAATAAATATATTGCTCTTTGCCGCGGCCACTTCTACCAGCTGGCGCAACACAATTTTTTTTTCCCCCCCGCCGGTTCCTGTCCTGACGGTATTTTGCACCTCTTGGCTAGAGGTTTGCGCCTTGGGCCTGTCTTTATCATTTCTTTCCTTCTCTCTTCTCGTCAATTGACTTAGTCCTCCATCGACAACACCGACACCATGGCCTCTGCTACTGCTCTACCCAAGCACACGGTGCTGCGCCGCACCGCTACTTCAGCCACGGCCTCAGCCACTGACTCTGAGTCCTCTGCCGCTGTCACTCCCGCTGATTCGCCCCGACCTTCGGCATCGTCTACCTCTCTCTCGTCGCTTTCCTCTCTCGATGTCGATGCCAGCAAAGATGAGTACGCCGGGCTTCTCGACACGTACGGCAACCCCTTCACGCCCCCCGACTTCACCATCAAGGACATTCGCGATGCCATTCCCAAGCATTGCTTTGAGCGCTCGGCCCTAAAAGGTTACGCCTATATCCTCCGCGACATAGTCTGTCTCGCCTCTACTTTCTACCTCTTCCACAACTTCGTGACACCTGAAAATGTGCCCCCAACTCCCCTTCGATTTGTTCTTTGGGGCATATACACTGCTCTCCAGGGACTGTTTGGAACTGGCCTCTGGGTCATTGCTCACGAGTGTGGTCACGGTGCTTTCTCTACCTCAACCTCGATCAACGACTTGACCGGCTGGGTTCTGCACTCGGCTCTTCTCGTTCCCTACTTCAGCTGGAAGTTCTCCCACAGTGCTCACCACAAGGCCACTGGCCACATGGAGCGCGACATGGTCTTCCTGCCCCGAACCCGTGAGCAGCAAGCCACTCGTGTTGGACGAATGGTTCACGAGCTCGGCGAGCTTTGCGAAGAGACGCCCGTCTACACTCTGCTGCACCTTGTTGCTCAGCAGCTTGTCGGATGGCCCAACTACCTCCTCACCAATGTTACTGGCCACGACTTCCATGAGCGCCAGCGTGAGGGCCGTGGCAAAGGCAAGAAGAACGGCTTCTTTGGCGGCGTTAACCACTTCGACCCCAGCTCCCCCATCTTTGATCAAAAGCACGCCAAGTACATAGTGCTTTCCGACATTGGTCTTGCCATTGCCTTCAGTGTTCTCGCCTACCTCGGTCACCGATTCGGTTGGGCTAATATGGCCGTCTGGTATTTCATCCCTTATCTGTGGGTGAACCACTGGCTTGGTAAGTCTGGCCTGGCAAGCAACCTGTCATGATTCCGTCACGTGTGTATTAACGAGATCCTCTCTAGTTGCCATCACCTTCCTCCAGCACACTGACCCAACTCTGCCTCACTACACTGCCCAGGAGTGGAATTTTGTCCGCGGCGCTGCTGCTACTATTGATCGTGAGATGGGCTTCATTGGCCGACACCTGCTCCACGGCATCATTGAGACTCACGTTCTTCACCATTATGTCAGCTCCATCCCCTTCTATAATGCTGATGAGGCCTCCGAGGCTATCAAGCCTGTCATGGGCAAGCACTACCGCTCTGATACCAAGGATGGTCCCTGGGGTTTTATCCGTGCTCTATGGCTCAGCGCACGCTGGTGCCAGTGGGTTGAGCCCAGTGCCGACGCTCAGGGTGCTGGCAAAGGCGTTTTGTTCTTCCGCAACAGCAACGGACTTGGTACGAAGCCCGTTTCCATGAAGGCTCAGTAACGAATACGCAAAAAAAAGATAAGACCAGAGCTCGCATTCCACGTTGGCGTTGATTGATTCTCTTTTATATTTGAAAAATTTCACCTTTTTGGGTTTTCTCCTTTGGAGGGGGAGCGGGATGGAGCGGCATCATGACACATTTACATTTTGGCCATGTTTTTTTTTTGTTCTAGACAAGTTGATCTTCGTCTGCGTGCTGATCTGACCACACGTTCGGAGACTGCGGTGAAAAAGATAGACTGCAGACGTGACGACCTGAT